TCCACCAGTATTCACATTTGGGCATATGGAATATTCGTGCCAAGTTTGGTCCAGATCCATCATTGTTTGAGTCCACAGTGCTCTCTGGATGTAGCTGAACTACAACTCCCAAACTCAAGGTCAATGCCCACCAAACCCTTCCAGTATTTTCTGTTGGTCATGCGGAGTTCTGTGTGCCAAATTTGGTTCAATGTCATTATTGGTGGAGTTCAGAATGCTCTTTGATTGTAGGTGAACTATGAATCCCAACAACTACAACTCCCAAATGTCAAGGTCTATTTACCCCAAACTCCGCCAGTGTTCACATTTGGGCATATTGAGTATTTGTGCCAAGTTTGGTCCAGATCTGTAAATGTTTGAGTTCACAGTGCTCTCTACATATATGTAAACTACAACTCCAAAAGTCAAGATCGATGCCCACCAAACCCTTCCAGTATTTTCTGTTGGTTGTGGGAGTTCTGTGTGCCAATTTTGGTTCAATGTCATCATTAGTGGGGTTCAGAATGCTCTTTGATTGTAGGTGAACTGTAAATCCCAGCAACTACGACTCCCAAATGTCAAGATTCTATTTCCCCCAAACTCCACCAGTGTTCACATTTGGGCATATTGAGTATTCGTGCCAAGTTTGGTTCAGATCCATCCTTGTTTGACTCCACCGAGCTCTCTGGATGTAGGTGAACTACAACTCCCAAATCAATGCCCACCAAACCGTTCCAGTATTTTCTATTGGTTATGGGAGTTCTGTGTGCCAAGTTTGGTTCAATTCCATTGTTGGTGGAGTTCAGAATGCTCTTTGATTGTAGGTGAACTATAAATCCCAGCAACTACAACTCCCAAATGACAAAATCAACCCCACCCCCCCCCCTTGTTTATAAAACTATTGTTCTCCCAATGTAACAGCATGGGAGGACAATAGCTTTATAGACAAGCACCTTGGTCCCCTATGGATGTCCCGGTCCTCAAACACTCTCTGCTTCATTCGGAAAAATGCTGCACTTGCAGAGCTCAGGCGGTGTTGTATTTCGGTGTCAATGTTGACTTTGGTGGAGAGGTGGCTGCCAAGGGAGCGGAAATGGTCCACATTTTCTAATGTTACACCATTAAGCTGTATCTCTGGCATTGGAGAGGGATTGGCCGGTGACTGCTGGAAGAGCACTTTGGTTTTCTCGATGTTCAATGACAGGCCGAGCAGGCACACTTTACGCAGAAAACACAGGACAATCTCCGCAGTTACCAAATGCTTGAAGTGTTCAGTTACGGCCGGTTTCAGTATGGAGAAGCAGCAGCTGGCGGCATATTATGCATGGTGTGCATGGTGCCCTTGGCTCTTACAGCTGTTGCCAGCCATCTCAAAGGCCACCTTTGTTTCTGGAAATCTTAGAAACAGAGACTTTTTTTTTTTTACTAGGCCAAGGAGAAGCCAGCTGCCACCTCACAAGACGCAATGCTAAGCAAGTCAAAAAGGAAACAAAAAAACATAGGCTGAACCCCTTCCTACCGTGTTCCTCAACCTTCCCAATGTGGTGACCCCTTAATCCAGTTCCTCATGTTGTGGTGACCTCCCAACCATAACATTATTTTCATTGCTATCTCATAACTGCAGTTTCGCTCCTGTTATGAATCATAATGTAAATATCTGATGAGTGTTTGAGGACCAGGACATCCATAGAGAGACCAAGTGTGAAGGAGACCGTTTTAATGCCACCGAATGCCACCAATTGTGAAAGAGCGTGGTTGAACTTACTGCCACCTAATCTGTGAGGGAAGCCGGGCAACGATCAATATAAGCTTAGGAGCTATTTTATAAAGGGATTATTAATTACAGAATCATAGAATCATAGAATCAAAGAGTTGGAAGAGACCTCATGGGCCATCCAGTCCAACCCCCTGCCAAGAAGCAGGAATATTGCATTCAAATCACCCCTGACAGATGGCCATCTGTCAGGCTTTATTCATTTGATAGCGTAGCATTTACTGTCCCTGGCTTGACTTTACTATTGCAGGCTGTTCAACTTAGGAGAAACTGTATCAGGCAACCTTGAGGAAAACAGTAACAAGTTTATTTTAACAGGAGTATAACATGTTTAACTGTTTCTTCACAAGAGGCACAAATCTTGATTGGTTACATTAGTAATGTTTCATGAGTAATCTCAGGCACAGTCTTCAAGAAGTTTCTATAAGCAGATGTAACCCTTCTGGACAACTGTCCTAAGATAACAAATAAGCTAAAAGGCTTATTTAACAGAATTCCCTATAGCCCACTGGCTACAGACACATTCCCTGAATCTCCACCCAGAGACTCAGTCTACCCAGTAGCTCACCGGCTTACTGACTCATTCCCTGAATCTCCACCCAGAGACTCAGTCTAACCAGTAGCTCACCGGCTTACTGACCAACTTTCAAAAACAGCTGCCCCATGAAGAGGCAGTTGGCTCCGCCCCTGTTGCTATGGCAACTCAGCCAACGCCAAGCCACCATCTCCAACAAAACACAATCCTACATACTTACCATCCTTAAACCACTATTTAAATTACACATAACCAAAGGAATAAAATTTACACATCGTCACACCAAGGTGCATGTTTACAAAGCTATTGTCCTTCCAACCCTGCTATACGCATGCAAGACATGGACTGTCTACAGACGTCACATGCAACTCCTGGAACGATTCCATCAGCACTGCCTTCAAAAAATCCTGCAAATCTCTTGGGAAGACAAGCGGACAAATGTCAGAGTGCTAGAAGAAGCAAAGACCAGCAGCACTGAAGTGATGGTCCTCCGCCATCAACTCCGCTGGACCAGCCACATTGTTCAGATGCTCAACCACCATCTCCCAAAGTCAAAATTAAGAATAAGCATCACAAAGTTCCAAAGATTCAGGTAAAATGCAGAATACAGTTCCAAAGATCTTCAGGTAAAAACAAGAGGCACAATCCTATAGGCAAAGTTCAAAACAGAGTCCAAGGTACAAGCAAAGACAATTGTCCCAAGAATCACAATGTAAGAAATCCCAAGCGTGCTGCTTTCCAGCTAAGGTAATCTATGAAGCTTTCAGGCTAATAAGCTACATTGAACTGACGCTTTCCCTTGGTTTGCAAGAAGCCTAAATAGCTTTCTAACATGAAAACATTATGCTCTCACCAACATGAAAGCATTGCGATGACCTTGGCCCGAGCTGGCTTCTCATCTGCCGGCCAAGCGAGAACTCCGCCTGACCCACAAATCAAGACGAGCCTGCCGGGTCAGGTCACTATCAAGGCTTTCTACACTTTCAGTATCAGCGTGGGAAGGAGGCAAAATCCTCCCTACCTGTTTGCTATCTCCTTTGTTAAAATTCTTTTCTTCTGAGAACCGCTGTGTTGTTGACTCTCCACTGTCTGTGGGAGCCTCAGAAAAAGACCTAGAAGCAGGCCCAGAAATCTGAGGCACAGAAAAAGAGCCAGGAATCTGAATCCCATCATCCTCATCATCAGGAAACATCTCAGCCACAACGGTTATGTTGTTTTTTACTTTGTATGTTTTGTGATGTTACCTGGGGGAGATGGAGCGGTATATAAATAAATTATTATTATTATTATTATTATTATTATTATTATTATTATTATTATTGGTTTTCTGCTGAAAATTCGTAAAACTGGATTTCCTGGAGCTCAGCTCAAGACAGCAAATCGTCCACTTGAACCATTACAGTGAATGTACTTTCAGAATGGCCACATTACTCAAACCATATGGACACAATGCCTCTTCAAGCATTGATTGTGAGGCTTACTCCATTAAGAAGAATCATTAGGACATGGCAAAGGGCAACCTGAAGTTGACTCATGGAATGAACTGCGTTATATCTCCATGTTGACATGCCATTTGGTAAGTGATGGAATGGGTCAGGTCTAGTGGGATTAACCAAGAAGATGCCAGCCAATATACAGATTTATTAATTTATCGTGTCAGGAGCAGACCAAACAGTTGTATTGCATTTTTAACAAACAAACAAACAAAACAAAACACAAAGTTTGCAAGCTTGGTAGTTGATTAAATGTCCTTTGACCAGTATCTGGCCACTTGGAGTGCCTCTGGTGTTGCCGCAAGAAGGTCCTCCATTGTGCATGTGGCAGGGCTCAGGTGCATTGCAGCAGGTGGTCAGTGGTTTGCTCTTCTCCACACTCATGTCGAGGATTCCACTTTGTAGGCCCATTTCTGAAGGTTGGCTCTGCATCTAGTGGTGCCAGAGCGCAGTCTGTTCAGCGCCTTCCAAGTCGCCCAGTCCTCTGTGTGCCCAGGGGGGAGTCTCTCATTTGGTATCAGCCATTGGTTGAGGTTCTGGGTTTTAGCCTGCCACTTTTGGACTCTCACTTGCTGAGGTGTTCGTAGACCTTAGAAAACAATTTCTAGATTTAAGTTGTTGACGACTGCTGGCTGATACCCAAACAGGGGATGAGCTGGAGATGTCTCTGCCTTGGTCCTTTCACTATTGGCTGCTACTTCCTGGCGGATGTCAGGTGGTGCAATACCGGCTAAACAGTGTAATTTCTCCAGTGGTGTGGGGCACAGAAACCCCGTGATAATGCGGCATGTCTCATTAAGAGCCACATCCACTGTTTTAGCGTGGTGAGATGTGTTCCACACTGGGCATGCATACTCAGCAGCAGAGTAGCATAGTGCAAGGGCAGATGTCTTCACTGTGTCTGGTTGTGATCCCCAGGTTGTGCCAGTCAGCTTTCGTATGATATTGTTTCTAGCGCCCCCAGATGAGACACCAAGATATAACCATTGGGGAAGTGTCTCCTTGAATGGAAAGGAGGGTCAAGAGAAGGCCGGAGCAGGGAGAGATCAAGTGCGGGCAAAAGCGACTGCAAAGAAGAGGAAAGAAACTTCTCCCCATTGAACCTCAGCCCTCCCATTTAGGTAAAGCTTTGGGGATCTGGTTCAGGCGCTCAGGTTGTAATGGTCAACCAAGAACAACAAACCATAACACAAACCATCATCAAGGAAAGGTCTCCTACCTTCTCTCGTTGTCATCCAGGTGAGCAAAGAGGACGTTTTTGGAGATGGCCTTGGCCAAAGCGGTCATCGTTTTATAGTCCTTGGGAATAACCTGAGGAAGAGGAAGAGGAGGAGGAAGGAGGTTAGGTATAAGTCTAGGTTTGGTCAAAAGCTTTGCCATGAACGGTGAGTCTGACCCATGGGGAGGGATCCTGAGGATTTCTATGGCAAGCTGTAACTATGATGCAGGCGAGATGTGCTGGAAATGACAACCTTCTTCATGCCTCCACTAATTATTTGTTACATATATAATGGAGATTGCTTACTGCATTGTATATGTGTGTATTTGTATGCAGTTTTTCATAACTCTATGTTGTGGGAGGGGCTGCAAACCATGTGATCTGATCTGGGACTATTCAGGACTCAGACTCCACTTTAGAAATAGTACGCTTTTTAAAGTCAGTAGAAACAGAACCCAGAGGGCTGCTTCACCTAGAAACAGCCAACCCAGTGTCGTCACAGAGGGCCACTTCACCTAGCAACAGCCACCCCAGTGGCTATCACAAAGGGCTACTTCACCCAGCAACACCCAACCCAGTGGAAGGCCACTTCACCAAGCAACAGCCAGCCCAGTGGTGTCATAGTGGGCCAGTTCACCTAGAAACAGCCAACCCAGTGGCATCACTGTACGGTTCCGGTCCAGTGTATCTGTCCGAACGTATCTCCCTCTACGTCCCACCTCGGAGTCTGAGATCATCTGGGGAGGCCCTGCTCTCGACCCCACCACTGTCACAAGTGAGGCTGGTGGGGACGAGGAGCAGGGCTTTCTCAGTGGTGGCCCCTCACCTGTGGAACTCACTCCTGGGGGAAATCAGGACATCATCATCCCTCCTCTCCTTCAGGAGAAGGGTAAAGACGTGGCTATGGGACCAGGCCTTTGGGCACTCTGGCAATTAAATAAGACAATCAGACGAGTAAGACCAACAGGATTGACGAAGTGGAACGGAAAATTAGAACTATGAGTTAGCGAACGCTGACCATGTAGGAGGAGGAATTGGGTTTGTATTGGTTTTATTGATTTTATTGATTTTATGGGTATAATGCTTGAATCGTTGTTACCTGTGAATTGATGTAATTTTGTAATTTTGTGTTTGATTGTTCTGTGATGCAGGCATCGAATTGTGCCTTTGTTTTTTGTAAGCCGCCCTGAGTCCCCTTCGGGGTGAGAAGGGCAGGGTAAAAGAATCCCCAAATAAATAAATAAATAAATCACAGAGGGCTACTTCACCTAGCAACAGCCAACCCAGTGGCTATCACAGAGGGCCACTTCACCTAGTAATAGCCAACCCAGTGGCATCAGAGGGCCATGTCACCTAACAACCTCAACTCAGTGGCATGGCCACTTCACCAAGCAACAGCCAACCCAGTGGTGTCATAATAGGCCAGTTCACCTAGAAACAGCCAACCCAGTGGCTATCACAGAGGGCCACTTCACTTAGTAATAGCCAACCCAGTGTCATCACAGAGGGCCACTTTACCTCGTAATAGCCAACCCACTGGCATCACAGAGGGCCACTTCACCTAGCAACAGCCAGTGGCATCAGAGGGCCATGTCACCTAGCAACGGTCAATTCAGTGGCATCACAGAGGACCACTTCACCTAGCAACAGCCAACTCAAATGGCTATCACAGAGGGCCACTTCACCTAGTAATAGCCAACCCACTGGCATCACAGAGGGCCACTTCACCTAGTAATAGCCAACCCAGTGGCATCAGAGGGCCATGTCACCTAACAACCTCAACTCAGTGGCATCACAGAGGGCCACTTCACCTAGTAATAGCCAACCCAGTGGCATCAGAGGGCCATGTCACCTAACAACCTCAACTCAGTGGCATCACAGAGGGCCACTTCACCTAGTAATAGCCAACCCAGTGGCATCAGAGGGCCATGTCACCTAACAACCTCAACTCAGTGGCATCACAGAGGGCCACTTCACCTAGTAATAGCCAACCCAGTGGCATCAGAGGGCCATGTCACCTAACAACCTCAACTCAGTGGCATCACAGAGGGCCACTTCACCTAGTAATAGCCAACCCAGTGGCATCAGAGGGCCATGTCACCTAACAACCTCAACTCAGTGGCATCACAGAGGGCCACTTCACCTAGTAATAGCCAACCCAGTGGCATCAGAGGGCCATGTCACCTAACAACCTCAACTCAGTGGCATCACAGAGGGCCACTTCACCTAGTAATAGCCAACCCAGTGGCATCAGAGGGCCATGTCACCTAACAACCTCAACTCAGTGGCATCACAGAGGGCCACTTCACCTAGTAATAGCCAACCCAGTGGCATCAGAGGGCCATGTCACCTAACAACCTCAACTCAGTGGCATCACAGAGGGCCACTTCACCTAGTAATAGCCAACCCAGTGGCATCAGAGGGCCATGTCACCTAACAAACTCAACTCAGTGGCATCACAGAGGGCCACTTCACCTAGTAATAGCCAACCCAGTGGCATCAGAGGGCCATGTCACCTAACAACCTCAACTCAGTGGCATCACAGAGGGCCACTTCACCTAGTAATAGCCAACCCAGTGGCATCAGAGGGCCATGTCACCTAACAACCTCAACTCAGTGGCATCACAGAGGGCCACTTCACCTAGTAATAGCCAACCCAGTGTCATCACAGAGGGCCACTTCACCTAGCAACAGTCAATCCAGTGGCATTACAGAGGGCCACTTCACCTAATAATACCCAACCCAGTGGCTATCACAAGGTCCACTTCAACTAGCTAAATCACAGAGGGCCACTTCACCTAGCAACAGCCAACTAAATGGCTATCACAGAGGGCCACTTCACCTAGTAATAGCCAACCCAGTGGCATCACAGAGGGCCACTTCACCTAGTAATAGCCAACCCACTGGCATCACAGAGGGCCACTTCACCTAGTAATAGCCAACCCAGTGGCATCAGAGGGCCATGTCACCTAACAACCTCAACTCAGTGGCATCACAGAGGGCCACTTCACCTAGTAATAGCCAACCCAGTGGCATCAGAGGGCCATGTCACCTAACAACCTCAACTCAGTGGCATCACAGAGGGCCACTTCACCTAGTAATAGCCAACCCAGTGGCATCAGAGGGCCATGTCACCTAACAACCTCAACTCAGTGGCATCACAGAGGGCCACTTCACCTAGTAATAGCCAACCCAGTGGCATCAGAGGGCCATGTCACCTAACAACCTCAACTCAGTGGCATCACAGAGGGCCACTTCACCTAGTAATAGCCAACCCAGTGGCATCAGAGGGCCATGTCACCTAACAACCTCAACTCAGTGGCATCACAGAGGGCCACTTCACCTAGTAATAGCCAACCCAGTGGCATCAGAGGGCCATGTCACCTAACAACCTCAACTCAGTGGCATCACAGAGGGCCACTTCACCTAGTAATAGCCAACCCAGTGGCATCAGAGGGCCATGTCACCTAACAAACTCAACTCAGTGGCATCACAGAGGGCCACTTCACCTAGTAATAGCCAACCCAGTGGCATCAGAGGGCCATGTCACCTAACAACCTCAACTCAGTGGCATCACAGAGGGCCACTTCACCTAGTAATAGCCAACCCAGTGGCATCAGAGGGCCATGTCACCTAACAACCTCAACTCAGTGGCATCACAGAGGGCCACTTCACCTAGTAATAGCCAACCCAGTGGCATCAGAGGGCCATGTCACCTAACAACCTCAACTCAGTGGCATCACAGAGGGCCACTTCACCTAGTAATAGCCAACCCAGTGGCATCAGAGGGCCATGTCACCTAACAACCTCAACTCAGTGGCATCACAGAGGGCCACTTCACCTAGTAATAGCCAACCCAGTGGCATCAGAGGGCCATGTCACCTAACAACCTCAACTCAGTGGCATCACAGAGGGCCACTTCACCTAGTAATAGCCAACCCAGTGGCATCAGAGGGCCATGTCACCTAACAACCTCAACTCAGTGGCATCACAGAGGGCCACTTCACCTAGTAATAGCCAACCCAGTGGCATCAGAGGGCCATGTCACCTAACAACCTCAACTCAGTGGCATCACAGAGGGCCACTTCACCTAGTAATAGCCAACCCAGTGGCATCAGAGGGCCATGTCACCTAACAACCTCAACTCAGTGGCATCACAGAGGGCCACTTCACCTAGTAATAGCCAACCCAGTGGCATCAGAGGGCCATGTCACCTAACAAACTCAACTCAGTGGCATCACAGAGGGCCACTTCACCTAGTAATAGCCAACCCAGTGGCATCAGAGGGCCATGTCACCTAACAACCTCAACTCAGTGGCATCACAGAGGGCCACTTCACCTAGTAATAGCCAACCCAGTGTCATCACAGAGGGCCACTTCACCTAGCAACAGTCAATCCAGTGGCATTACAGAGGGCCACTTCACCTAATAATACCCAACCCAGTGGCTATCACAAGGTCCACTTCAACTAGCATCTCTGTGTCCATTTGACCCTCTTTGTATCCTGTACACAAACGGTTGGTTTTGAATTGTCCAGACTTCACTCAACTCTACAATCAGCTCTTCCACTGGGACGACCCACCGTTCAAGAGCAAGTTAAATGATTAATGCACCTGATTACTTAAGATGCATTTACAAAAAGCAATATTTTGTACGGCACGGCCAGCTACTTCGTTATTCGGCTGTTCCTAATAGCAGCATAAGATGCTCCTTACACGACAATAACATCTTTTCCTCTCACAACTTCTATTCCCAATGTAACTCACCATTTTCCAATTTTTTCCTAACTCCAGGGAGTCTTAGGAATCCAATTTGCTGTACCTGTCATAGAATCCTAGAGTTGGAAGAGACCTGGCGGGCCATCATCCAGTCCAACCCCATTCTGCCAAGAAGCAGGAAAATTGCATTCAAATCACCCCTGACAGATGGCCATCCAGCCTCTACTTAAAAGCCTCCAAAGAAGGAGCCTCCATCACACTCCAAGGCAGAGAGTTCCACTGCTGAACAGCTCTCTGAGTCAGGAAGTTCTTCCTCATGTTTAGGTGGAATCTCCTTTCTTGTAGTTTGAAGCCATTGTTCCATTGCGTCCTAG